TAACCAGGTTTACTCAGCCTAAGAAGCTGGTTGTTTGTATTTTGGTTATTTTTTTTTTAATTTGCTGCGTTTCTCCAGTACTGCATTTACAGTAGACCATTGAGAAATGTCTATTAAACATCCTTTATTACATATTTTGGCTAATTTGATCATATTTTAAAGCTTGCAGTTCCATATTTTATCATATTCAAATCCAGATTTTGCAGAAAATGACCACTGTGGATGTACAGTTTTTTTTGCATAGTGCATCAAGTAAGTTTTCTTCATCTCGTAACGTTGCGAATCCGCACAGCTGCATTTTATTGTGATTGATTGCGATTGTGTCACTTCCCAGTGATGTTACTATGGGACGCTTCTCTTATTGCTAAATAAAAACGTGTCACAGTTTAGTATCTGCCGCACTCTAGCGTGTCAGCTTTGAAGAATGACAATATATACAGTCTGCGAGAACAAGGTCAAAACACTCAATCTTGAAATATATGGAGACACGCATGCACAAACACACACACACACACACACACACACATACACACACGCACGAGCAGGCGACATGTAGACACACACAGACTCTCTCTGGACGTAAAATCAGAGGCTGTTTAACGTTAAGTCCCTGGCAGATTGTGCTTAACATTCTCTTTTACAAATGAGGGGTGAAAAAAAACAACTAAACATGATGACCAGCCCAAGGAGCTTTAGATTTGTCATCCATCAAACGCAAACCCTTCTGTTCATTCACTCCACTCGTTCTGCGAAGGCGAGGCGGCCCGAAAAGCATGCTAGCTCATTAGCAAGCACATTTCCCTTTTATACGAGCGGCTCCATAATTCATAACGGCCCCGTACGAGATGTGAGCCTGATTTGATTTAACGTGCTCAGTTATGCTTGAGTGCTAAACGGCTTTCGGGCCCCCTCTTGCCATTCTGGATGGATAGAACAAACAAACAGAAAATGGATAACAAATGAAGACGTAAGCAAAACACTCTGCCACTGACATACGCCAGGCTTCCAGATACTCACACACACACACACACAAACACATGCGGTGAAAAGCAGTGGTGACTACAGCCATATCCAGCACTTACACTCTCTCTCTCTCTCTCATTATCCGTGAGGTCAGTAAGCAGAATTGGGAAGAAACGGAGAGATCAATACAAATTATCCCTGAGCAAACCGGCGCTGACAGCCTGAATTGCAGCATATGTTTACCCAAAATCGGGCAATTTATCTTAATATCAGCAAAGTAATGCGGAACAGGTGAAAGGTCACCTACTCTCCCCACCTCATAATTACCCAGCTCTAAAACAGGAAAGTGCTATTGATTTGCCGGGCCCGAGGCTGGGGGGCCGGCTCAAAGGCCAGTGGGAGGGGCTTAGCCTCAGGCCTGGGCTGAAAGATATAGAGATAGAGAGTGTGTAGGTTGTGAACGAGAAAAATAGTTTTATTGTTCAACGACGTGAGAGTGCAGGAGAAGCAAGATGCTTGCAAGGAGTCTGTCTGGATTTAAACTCAATCTGTTCTCCATATTTCCCAGCTGGCCCAGTAGCACTAACGCCCCCCCCCCACACACACACACCAAAACCCAATTTTATGTGTTCGTAATCGCAGCAGTACTCCCCTTATAAATTTATTTTAGCATGGTAAACACAGTTTCCACAAAACATAACGTGGCTACTAGAATTATTAGTGATGTTTGCTAAGTGCACCATTTGTGCTACAGAAACCTTAAATTGTGTATTACTTTACACAAAGTGATCAGGCTTTTGGTTTTCACTTGGTGGGTGATAAAATGGGTGTAAAAAATCCAATAGATTTACATTGAGCCATATCTAGAGTTCAGAATATTTTCAGGGTTGATGTTTTATTACTTGGATCAGTAAGTAACCACCTAACAACCACCCAGAAAACCCCAGCAATGCAAAATTTAGATGTTGTTGCTACTGGGGGATTTTTTTTTTTTTTAAAGGATTCATTTTAATTAATTAGTATTGTATAGTAATTATTTTTGGTAGATACTATGATTTTATATGAATTTTTATGACTTATTTATTTATTTATTTAGACTAATCAAACAGTTTTATTGTAGTTATGGTATTTTGCTAGAAAATATGAATTTCTTTTTTTAATTGATTTATTGATTGATTTATTATATTATTATTATTATTTAATACAAATTTAATATTTAATATGTCATTTTGTTTATGTTATGGTATTTTAAAATATTTATTTTTTCATAACTAATTTGCTTATATCAAGTTTTATTGTATTTATACTATGATATTTTTCTAGATACTGTGATTGACATTTACTGTCTGTTTATTTATTGCCGATCAGACAGTTTTATTATAGTTATATTATAGCATTTTGCTAGAAACCACGATTACTATTTAATTATTTTATTTGAATTTCTTTTATTATTTTTTATGACACATTATACGGCTAAAATCAATGCTGTTGCAATTATGCTATGGTATTTTACAAGAAATTGTGGTTCCCATATAAATCAGTGTGTTTTTCACCTAGCTGTAGTTAATAATTCCTGGTGTGTTTGAGGTGGAGGATCTCAGAGGTGAGGGACTGTCTTGCGCTAATGAAGGTCTCACTGACCTCTTTTACTGCATTAGCATCAGATCAATAACTGAAGAGCGTTCAGCACCCACTGTTCCGATGCATTTATCAAACCGCACACATTCCTTCATCAGCAAAGCCTCAATGTCAGAGCGCAGAACAACATGTTGCTGCTCGGGGCTGCGCTGTGTGAAAGTGCCATCAGAACGGCTGTAAATCTGCCCGCTTTTGGGCCATATTTAATGTCACCGGGTACTTTTATTATGTGTCCCAGGGCAAATAGACATCCTGAAGGGCTAGTGTCAAAGTGCATGATCCATTTGTGTAGTTCCAGGCGCCAGACATAAAAAATGCGCCAAAATGATGGATACCCTCATATGGGCAAATTCAGGCATAATGAAGTGCTGTAATACAAACATTTACATCTCGGAGAGGTGGAGGGTGTCCGTCTAGGAACGACAGGCGAGGGGAGAAGGAAAGGGGGAGGTGAAGGTGTGCGTGAGAGAGCTACATCCTTGTGAAAGCCATGTCATGTAAAATCAATACGCCCGATCAATGCTTTATTAACAAGCCGACATCTTACTTCGGATTCCTGCATGCTACTTTGTCTTCAGCCATGCAAGATGGCATGTCAAATAGCATCACCGCTGTCCCATGATGACACGCATACGTGTGCACCAAAACATAAGCGCCGTCTTGATATTGATCAGATCGGATTGATTGGATTGCCGCCCCCTACTACACTTAGATGTAATTGTAGCAGTTCATCATAAAGTCACCCAATTATTTCTAGGAAGTTCCTGTCTAAACCTACTACACTTAGATGTAATTGTAGCACTTCATCATAAAGTCACCCAATTATTTCTAGGAAGTTCCTGTCTAATATGCTCATCTTCTCCTCTCAGGCTGTCATCTCTCATTCTCTGCTTTAGTTCGTTTTCGTGTTTCTCCCCGTTTCCATCAGAGCAGAGTTCAGCGGCAAACCGCGTGCTGAATAAGGGGAACAGACAGATTTGATCTCTCAAAAGAAAAAGCACATTGATTCATATGGCCTGACGACGACATCTACATTCATGTCTGATAATATTTTTATGCTGATGCTCTGCTTGCTTTCCTCTTGTGATCTTTTCTTCCTTCTGTATCATTTTTATGTTCCACTCAACCAATGGTATGCATTTGGGGGCGGGGCTATCTGTATGTCTGGCCAGTGGCAGATTAGTGTTCAGGAAACCTGTTTAAAATCAATAATTATTATTTGTGCATTTCTGTTTGTTGATGTTAGTGACAGAAATTTCACACTTTTACACTCACGTTTGTGTTATGGACGAGGATACTGCAAGTCATCTATCTTATTAATTAAGGTTGTGCTTACAAGCTGAAGCACAACCAACAGCCATAAGTGATCAGTTTTTTTTTTTTATGTCAACTTTAAAAGCCATCTGCATCGCAACACTTTGACAACCACCTAAACAATGTTAGCATTGTGTTGACTATTTTTTGCTCACTTTTTCTTCAAAAATGTAAAAAATATTTAATGCAAAAAAAAAAAAAACTTCCTAGAGTGCAACATATTTCATATTTGTTGAAAATAACTTCCCATGCTTAAAGTCTAGTGTGACCGTAATAGACCTCCATGCACTCTTCTAAAGCTTGTTAAACACAATGCATGTGGTAGCAGGAAGTTGAGATTATGATTCATGCACTTGTATACGGAGCAGCTCTGTCTGATTTATAAGCGGGGCACTTCATACTCAAAATTCCAATTTGAGAGGGAGGGAACGTGTGTGTGCTGCATGTGTCTGTGTGTGAAAGAAAAGATTAATTACTATTTGTGGCCAGCAATTTCATGAGGCCAGCCCCGGCACAGCTGTGAAATGATAGCGCCCTACATCAGTTTGTAGTCAACCATTCACAGATTATTAAAGCTCCATAAGATGAAGTGTTCCTCCTGCCTGCTTTGCTTTAGCGCACGATGGCAGAGAGAGTGCGAGAAAGAGGGATAAATCTGAAGGGGCGCAATAGCCAGACATATGTCATCATCGCCCGTTGCCCATAAATCCAGCAGGTGCTTCAGGAAGCAGGACTGATGCAGACTTCACAGGGTTGACAGTCGCAATCGAGTGTGTGTGTGAGTTTGTATGAGCCTGCCTGTTTCATTCATAATGTATCCGCTAACTCCTTCAAATTTATCTGATCAATTATAGGCCTCGTTCTTCCAAATAGGAGAGGTGATAGATGTGGCTCTGACGGAGTATTGCACAGCATGTTATTACCTTTTATTCAAATGCTCAGACCTATCTGGAATAAAATGCATAATGGGTGCATACATTCTCAAGAGCGAATGTAATAACATTTATGATGAAAACACAAATCTGTTCATTTGTTTTGCCTGCGCAGGATGCTAACTGATGGCGTTTTCTTGTTTTGCGGTTTAGCTTTGAACGAACCAACTATTGACTATGGCTTCCAGAGACTGCAGAAGGTCATTCCCAGACATCCAGGTGATCCTGAGAGGTTGCCCAAGGTTAGTGATTCTGTGTTTGTGTGTGCGTGTGTGTGAAAGAGCTATTTCTCATAGAATTGTCAAAACGGGAAACAATTCACTGGCTAGATGAGCAAGCGCATGCAATCACTTTTGGCAAGTCATCACTATGCAATCCGGCGTGTTTGGATTCCGCTGGAATCGTGCAAACTTTCGGCACGTCGAAATGGTTCAATTAAGTATTTTTCCACCCCAGTAGGCAGTGGCGATTGTAATCTAAGCAGAGGCCTTTTTCAGATGTGTGATTATTTCAGTCTTGTTTTCCTTTCATTTTCCAAAGCTAGATCCAGTTTAATCTTTTGTTTACAGAGCTTTCCGTTAAAAGTCCTTGTCTTAGCAGGTTAATAAATTAGTTTTGCGCACGTTAATATGGGCAAGCCCTCTCTCTGGGATTTTTAGCTTCATTTATTTATTTTTTTCCCACTTAAATTCCACAAACCATGCAGTTTGCCTGCAGTTCCCATGTGGTTGACACGTATCACAGTTCTCTTGTTTTGATGTGTGACATGAAAGACAAAGCATGCCTGTCGGACCTTTTCTATTTCCTATTCTTTGATCTGTCCCTCTTTTTTTTGCTCATTTAGCTTTGATAGAATCTATGACTTGTGCCCGGCTAATAGAAAACGTGATAATTTCCCATCTGAGAGCGACGCGGCGCCGAGGGCTTTTCTTAATAATATGTTAAGAGATTATTTTGTACCCTGTTCGTGGGTGCTCGGCACGAGCTGACCACCACGGAGGCCCAATAACAGATATCATACAAATATCTATTAAAGCACAGCATGGGAGCAGCTGCTATCATTAACTTCCTCTGAACAGCTCTGGAATGGCGTTGTCTCAGCGCTAGCGTCCCGTGGACACACACCAAACTAAGAACCCATAAGACTTTGCCCTGCGCCACATGATGTGTTTCAATTACACTTGGCTCTCTGTCTCTGTGGAGGCCAATATCTGGATAGGAAATATCATTCCAGTAAATGCTTTAAACTATCCATTATCAAAAAATAAATAAATAAATAAAGCCACTCTGCTTGAGCACTTCTGAAGCTGGAAAAATATATTACATTTATTTATTTACTTTACTTTATTTTTGTTGTTATTGTATTTTTTGTTATTGCATATTTTATTAAAAGAAGAGAAATACAACAGCATCAGTAACAAAAAAATAACAGAAATTATTTTTTTTCCTCAAGTGCATGCAATTTCACTCACCTCAAATTCAGGTAAACCCTCATCACAGGGACATCACACCAGAGCAGTTCCAATAAACAACATAAATATTTGATTTTGGCCTCTAATGGACCCAAATGTGAGTTCAGCAGCATGTAAATGAAAGTGCCAAGTGATTCATCATAATTACCGCAGCCGTCTGCACCTCTATCGTGTTCGAGGTTCAAAGCCAGCTCCACGCAAAGCAGCAATTGACCCTTACACATATTCTCAATAAGAGGCAGAGCGTCTGGGAGGAGTGGCTGCATTAGATGTTACGGGTGGGAGACAGACCGCTGTAATAAGAGGTTTCAGGGGGAGGGATGTACACAGTGTGTTAGCAATAAGGTAAAGCCGTCACACTCGTGCTCGCCCGCTCGACTCCGCTGTAGAGTTGATAATATGCCCCTGATATCGATTCCTGGATTTTTTTTTTTTTTTCTTTTCCTTTTCCTTCCTCCTTTTCAGGCAGGGATCTACAATACACAAGGTCTGATGGGAAATCGTTGCTGGACAGAAAGCCAATATGGCGTGCATTTATTACTTTGGACATGCAACTGCTAAATATTAACATTAAAAATACTAAGAAAAAAGTATTTCTCAATTATTTTGCTTTCTTATTGTACTTTTGAAATCCCTAACATATTCATACTAAGAATTGCTCGGAATTGCAGTTTACCTCCCTAATTTTAGATCAAATCCAAATTTGCTGCTCGATCCAAGGGGAGGGGCATCCAATGAACACATTTATATACGAAGACGGCAAGAGAGAGTAAAAAGCAATATGTGAAGTCACTCATGTGATGAGGCAGGAGATTGCTAAAGGGACCTTCCAATCCTCTTTCTTTTAAGTCCTTGTTTGAAATCAGTGTCATCCATTTGTCTCGATATAAGGATGAGACAAACACTGGAATGAAAATCTGATCAGGCTCTATACATTCGCTTACGTGCCATCAAATAATCTTTATTGTGAATCATATAGTAGTAACCTGTCGGCCGTATTCTCACATTCATCAGTTCCATTAGCCTCTTTGCGTCCTGTTTCAGCTCGCAAACACCAATCTATTCCGCTTCCCGTTCAATCTAATATCCAAGAAAAATGATTAGAAATGCCTTCATGTTGAGCAATTACCCATGCATTAAAATTCATCTTCTGTCTGTAGCGAGGTAGCTACACGTATTGGTCCCGCACTTCTCAATGTGTTCATCACCTCAGGCAAGAACTAACAGAATAATTGCTTTACACTTTTATAATGATATTAGCACCTCCAGCCCCTCACCTCACTTGGCTTCTTTAACAGTGGTGATATATACCACTCACGATATTCAAGAGTGATAATAACAAGTTTTCCATTTAAACGATTCTCGTCCACCAGCGGAACAATGAGCTCTTGTAATAATAAGCCCTCGCATTTGTCACGAAACAAGCCCTGGGATCGTTTCAGGCTTAAATAGTTCCCAGTCTAACCTGAAGTCTTGTGTCGATGCGGAAAAAGAAGGGGAGTCAATTACACTTAATGCCGCTGCTCTGAAATTTAAATGGAAATGCGTTTCGAACACCGCTCACCGCTAATCATATTCTCAGCATGAGGCCGCGAAGATGAGAGGGGCATGCTGGAACAAAACATACTCATTCACAGCCTCCTTCGCCGATTGGCCGGCGCGTTTGACACGCATAGACTCCCACTTCAATGCGCGCTGCTAAATCCGGTTCATTAGGAAACACACCTCATGGTAAATGACAGATTAGAGTTGAGAGTATGCATCGTTTTCTTAAACTATCCTTACGTCTCCTCCTCCTCTCGGCCGCCATATGGACGAGAAGTTCAAGTAGGTGTCGGCTGCGGTGAGTTTTCAGCGACGTTAATTGCGATAATCGTCAGGTGAAATTGGGAGGCATGTAAGACGTCTTGTGATATGATGAGTAATTATTAGCGGCTCAGAAAAACACTTCATCTTGCTTAGAGAGAGCCGAGAGCCGGACTAAGACAGCTGGGCCTTTCATTTACACTACCTGCTGAATGACAAGTGTAATTCTTTATTTGTATGCAAACTAGACGCATGCAACATGAAACGCAGCCCCCAATTTCCGAGGTAAATGCCCATTTGAAGAAGCAGTCATCCGGTTAGGCTCAGGTTTGGAGTGCGTCTCTATAAAACGCACAGGCCTGTGATTAATCTTGATAAATATGAATCCAACATGGCGCTTGTGCATGGGAATGAAATAGCCATCAAGCCGTGATGAAGGCGCTCCGGGCTTTGCACTCACAAGGACAACGCCATGAATGTGGTTACACTCAAACGCCACCTGCAAATCGATAAAAAGTAAGTCAGCAAGTTCAAGACATGCTAAAATGCAACACAATTCCCAAAAAGTAGCTCTTGGAAGAGAAAAACAAGCGGCAGCCCATGCAAAACGCTTTGGAGATCCTGCCGTACACACCTCGTTGGCAGCTTAGGTGTGATTTTTGAAGGGAAAATAAGCGGCAGGTTAATCCTTTTTGTGTTATAAGTCGGAGGAAAGCTTGCAGACGGGGATAAGCGAGAGTTCCCGGCGTCCATGTCCCAGGGCACAGCCTCTCAGCCCACTCTGGAGGGGAAGTCGTTTATGAAGTCCTTTACAACAGCCAGAGAAAGAGGGTTAATTGAAAAATGTCATAATGTCATTATGAAAGAACTAGATTAACCCGAGCTAATTCACTTTATTGTCCTGAAGAAAGAGGAATGGGCATTGAACTCTTCTGCAAATCTGGGGCATGAATTAGGGGTGAGATGTTGTCTTTGAGGACTCTGCCAGTTTAATTAAGATATGGAAAATGACTCATTGTTCTTCTGAGCTAAAGTGCGCGGAATTAGCAGGCGAACGTGGCGTCTGTGTTTGACTAGGTGCGGCGTGCTAGTGTTTGTTTGTTTAATACCCACAAGGCCACATAGTTGAAATGCAAGTCCTTATGTTGACTCATTTAGCTTAAGTTACACACCGCTTCACTAGTCTAAGTCAAATGAAATGTGACTAAGAAATAAAATAATGCATTTGATAATATATAATTAAAAATGTTTTATTTCCACTCGTCAGCTTGTGTATTTTTTCCCAACCAGAGATAAAGAGCTTATAATGTACCCGGACCCACATGCACGCTTATTGTTCATGTGCAATGTACTGGCTGATGGTGTTTATATGTCTTTATGACTGATTATGTTGCATTCTGGGTGTATATTGCAGGAGGTGTTGCTAAAGAGAGCCGCCGACCTTGTGGAAGCGCTGTACGGGATGCCACACAACAACCAGGTACAAACTCATGCTAATGAAGCACCTTTTCTCTTCCTTTGCACGGTGACTATAATTAAGTCAGCATTCATCTCCTTTTGCTACATTCCTGTATGTTTCAAAGCTAGCTGGGGGCCTTTGTACTGTAGCCGGGTGAAAGCTTGTTTTTTCTTCTTCTTCTTCTTCTTCTTCTTCTTCTTCTTCTGCTTTTTCGCAATATAATTCCTGGCTGCGGCTCTTGGTGCAAAGTGACAAGTTAATCACTCAAAACACACTCACACAACCATATACAGGCTTATTTAAATAGGGAGGATAACCTTGAACTTGGCCCTAAAAGGTGCACTTCTGGAATATATTCTACAGAGCGGTCCAGCTATGCTTGAGAGGTCTAATACATATTCAGAAGAAATGATCCATTACATTATTTCCCCCCAGTCGAGTAGCACAGAGGTGAAGACACTGCAGTACAACTACAGTGAAACAAATGCAAATGTCCTGTCATTTATGTTTACCTACAGACAGAAAATCCATATTTATATTTGTGTGTGTGTATGTATATATAAGTGCCAAAATGTACTCATTCATGAAACACAAGAAGAAGAAAAAATGTATAATTAACTCTTTAAGTATTTTGATTGCTTTAATTTACATGCCATTTTATATAAATGTTTTACATGCATTTACACATAAGTGTATAATCATTTCAGATCTCTGGCCTCAAGTTCCTTTGAGAACGTACTGATAACTCTCCTTTCTCTGTTTCTGTGTGGTAGGAGATCATCTTGAAGAGGGCCGCAGATATCGCAGAGGCTCTGTACAGCGTCCCACGTAACCACAACCAGATCCCGTCCCTCGCCAACACGGCCTCTCACGGCGGAATGATGGGAGTCAACTCTTTCGGCGGTCAGCTCGCCGTCAACGTCTCAGAGACCTCACAAGGTATGTGGCATGAAGATTAGCATGTAGATTACAATGAACCCTGCAGAAAAAAGCTTAATGCAGAATAGGGTGGTTTGCTGGCCAAACGGGAGGCTTGTCAGTCTGAGAGATAGCCACCAAAGCTTTTGAAAAACTATCCAACACGACAGCCTAACCAGCACAGCCAGGCAGGAGAACCTACTAACCACTTTAGTTATTCATCTGCGAATATCAAAATGAGTTATATACGTTTCTAGAAAAAATGCTTGCAACGATTTGCGAACATTAGCGAGCTGCTAGCAGCATAAATCATGGCACAGGCCGGCTGCAGCTTTATCTTTCCTGGCTGTGTATAGCATAGATCCCACGTGGTGTCTGACCCTGTCCCCATCTCTCCGCTACCAGCCTGCCAGAACACGCAGCGCTATCTCACACACTGAATTTAGCCAGTGTACCGATAATAGGTTTACACCTGTTCCATTGTTGCCTCCACTCAGGTCAGGACAGGGAAAAATCACACCGGAATACACGCTAGGATGCTGAATATCCTCCTTACATACATGGAGGTGAATTTAGCACATTGGGCCATACTCATAAAACAAGCAGAATGCATTACTGTGCAAATCGTTCAGGAAAAAAAAATCGTAAAAAAAATTCCAAAGGCGTGGCATGACTATAGGAACTATTTTCAAAGAATTTACATTTGATATGTATGTATATGCTAATAAATAGCCTAAAAAAACTTTGAAACAGGTGATGGCACCTATCTCAAGAATTATATAGATTGCAAAAATTGTGGCAGATTTTGACCCTTGTCTTTCCGTCCGCAGTGGGCTACAGTCGCAACACGAGCAGCGTTTCGCCTCGCGGTTACGTGCCCAGCAGCACCCCGCAGCAGTCCAACTACAACACCGTCAGCAACAGCATGAATGGCTACGGCAACACGGGAATGCCCAACTTGGGCGTGCCCAGTTCACCGGGCTTCTTGAACGGCTCCTCTGCAAACTCTCCCTACGGCAGTAAGTATCAAGGTAATGTTGAGCCCCCCCCGCTCTCTCTGTCCTCCACCTGTGCTTCCCTTTCCTTTTGACACTCCTCTGTTGTCGTTCTGTTGGTTGTTTGTTGGTTTGTTTTGTTATCTTTTGGGAATGTGTGCTACTGGATAAAAGGAGGGGTGACTCTGGAGGCTGAACAACCGAGACATTTAGCAAATCCGACCAATCAAAGCAGCCGATTGAAAAGCAAATCCAATTGCAATTATAAAGCAGGCCAGCAAAACAGCACTCAAAATCTTTAAAACACAATTTTTTTCGGCAAAATGACCCAGTCAGAGTCGATAAGAACGCCTATTATCCAGAAAGTGGCCATGGCAGGACATCTCATATCCCATTCCAACTCCATTTACCTGATGATATGCTCGTTTGTTTTAGTCCCCCCAAAAAAGACCGTGCATGTGTGGGTGTGTTTATTGATTTATTTATCTTTCATTAATGATTAAGCAAAGTTAAGTGTCTCATGAGATTTCATACTCGAGTGGCTGGGATCGCTATAATTTGGAAACATCTTGCACAAATAAAATCGACTCAACTACTCCATTATTCACTGGCTCTTTTGCATTCAAACTGAGCTCAACGTATGCCACCATATTCTCTTTACACTGGCGGTACACAACCCCGTCGTCCTCGAAATACTGTAGCGTGTTAAAAATGCATTTCCTACAATAGTAGCGCGAACGATGGATTCAAAAGGGCAGAAATGTTAACGCCTCGCTGTGCTCGCTCATCCAACATCGAATAACATCGCCAGAGAGGAACTTAACTGCAGAAGAAGTGATTATAACCCAGGTTGAATGTGATTATAAGAAGAAAGAGCGAGAGGGAAAGAGCTCACGGTATTCTCGGCAGGGCGGCATCGTTCGGCAAATTAAAGACTTACTCTGGCTGTTTAGTGCACTCGTATTTGCTCTTCGTCAAGGCCCAGTTGTTTGCTTTGAAAACATGTTTTAGCCATAGCGTGTGCAACCGAGATTAATAATGTTAGACCTAATGAACTGAGAAATTAAAGTTCATGCCGCTACATGCATCTACTTATTAATATGTGGTTTGCAGAAATTAATGAGGAATGCCACAACATCAGATGCCTTGGCAAACTTAAAAGCACTCCAAGCATGACTCTACAAATAAGTCGAAAGCGGCAAAAGAGCTTTCTTCCCGTTTGCCCTCCCCTGGCACTTCACTAGACACCTAATTGCGGAAATGAGCGAGTACATCAATCTCTGCATTCGGGCGGCCCGAGAAGTGGGCGTACGACGACCTAGTCCGGCCTTCTTTAGATGTCACAATAAGGAGAGATTGGGGGGTGGAAATACGGGCTGACAGGAGAATGCAAATAGTTTTCCAGCATCCACTCGGCTCTGGTAATGGCAGGAGGGAGCGAGGCGAAGATTTCAATTTGGGCAAAGCCGAGGGGTGTCTGGTTGCTGACTGAGAAGGGGAGACCGTGGGTCTACGTGACGTTAGCAGAAGTGACCGTGTTGTTTCACGGCTGTCAGCAGGGACCCTCTCCTGGGAGTCTGGCCCACTGTTTGCCATTAACAAAACGCTAAGAGAAATATCACACATGTGGGAGCCAGGATGCTTTCTCCTCAAAATGTCAGAAAGCTCCTCTTTCAAAAAGTGAAGTCTTTCCAGCACGTCTTGTTGGTGAAGCACATTTCACTCAATCACTCCCAACCCTCCCCCGTCGGCCCCCGACAGCAACAGCCTCCATTTTACAAACATCCCCAGCGCCTTTCGAGTCGAGTATTTTGTGAAATGCGAGTGACATACTTACTGCTGTGTTCCTTTTTGTCTACTGTGCGGCGTCTCGAGACCTCCCGTGCTAAAATTGTTTATCTTTCTCTTTCAGCTATGTCCGGACTGGTGGTCCCACCCATGTAAATTGCACTCCCTTCCCTTGTAAAGCAGCCACCTCCTCACTGGGACGAAGCGTAGTACGTTATACGGAGGATCCTCCTCGAAGTCGTCATTCGTCATGAAGTTAATCAGCAGCTAATTCTGTTATTCAGAGGAAAAAGACACTTTGCTTCAAAGAGTTTATTCGAAATTGACATGCAAGCGACTTCACAGTTTATTGACTGAATCTTGTCATTTTCACGATCTCGAAGGGGAAAAAAATAACAAAACGTACCTATTTTGTATAAACATTTCTGGTTTAATCTTGGCTATGTCTAGTTCTTGCTATGTGTGGGAAGAAACATTGTGGATATGTCATTTGATGAAAACACTGATAAAAAAATGTGTAAGAATGTTTCTCTTTCACCGATGTGCTGCCACTGCACATCTTCATAATGTGAATTCATTTTCCTTTTTTATTATTATTATTTTTTGTTTATTGTTTTGCTTATTTTTTTTATTTTGATTGTGGTAATAAAAAGGGGGCCAATATATACAGAGCCAATAAACTGGAAATAATATAAGATATATGATTTATAAATCAAAAAGAAAGGCAAGGAAGAAGGAACGATGCGAGGAACCGGGAAAGGAGATCTTATCTTTCAGTTCGTTCGGCGGAAATGAACTTTGTAACTTATTGTAGGTAGAAGTTGTAACTTTGATATTGCAAAAATTCTTCTCTTGCCTTCAACAAGCACACTAACAGAGACGAAGCGCTACTGTCTGTTGGTTACAAAAGACAAAAAAAGAAAAAAAAAAGAAAGAAAATATTTCCACTGCTAAAGCTTCCTGTAAAGCGAGTGTGATCTGCAATGTTTTTCAACTTTTTGCTAGCACTGTATACTATTGCATTCTTAGGCTACTGTGAAGTCTGTTTCTTGTACCAGAAAGTTGTCCTTATACGAGTATTTTGTGAAATGCGAGTGACATACTTACTGCTGTGTTCCTTTTTGTCTACTGTGCGGCGTCTCGAGACCTCCCGTGCTAAAATTGTTTATCTTTCTCTTTCAGCTATGTCCGGACTGGTGGTCCCACCCATGTAAATTGCACTCCCTTCCCTTGTAAAGCAGCCGTCTCCTCACCGGGATGAAGCATAGTACGTTATGCAGAGGAACCTCCTCGAAGTTGTCATTCGTCATGAAGTTAATCAGCAGCTAATTCTGTTATTCAGAGGAAAAAGACACTTTGCTTCAAAGAGTTTATTCGAAATTGACATGCAAGCGACTTCACAGTTTATTGACTGAATCTTGTCATTTTCACGATCTCGAAGGGGAAAAAAATAACAAAACGTACCTATTTTGTATAAACATTTCTGGTTTAATCTTGGCTATGTCTAGTTCTTGCTATGTGTGGGAAGAAACATTGTGGATATGTCATTTGATGAAAACACTGATAAAAAAATGTGTAAGAATGTTTCTCTTTCACCGATGTGCTGCCGCTGCACATACTTCCCTTGTAAAGCAGCCACCTCCTCACTGGGACGAAGCGTAGTACGTTATACGGAGGATCCTCCTCGAAGTCGTCATTCGTCATGAAGTTAATCAGCAACTAATTATGTTATTCAGAGGAAAAAGACACCTTGTCTCAAAGAGTTTATTCGAAATTGACATGCAAGCGACTTCGTCATGAACAATTTAATTTTATTGACTGAATCTCTTGTCATATTTTCACGATCTCGAAGGGGAAAAAAAAAAGAACAAAACGTACCTATTTTGTATAAACATTTCTGGTTTAATCTTGGCTATGTCTAGTTCTTGCTATGTGTGGGAAGAAACATTGTGGATATGTCATTTGATGAAAACACTGATAAAAAAATGTGTAAGAATGTTTCTCTTTCACCGATGTGCTGCCACTGCACATCTTCATAATGTGAATTCATTTTCCTTTTTTATTATTATTATTTTTTGTTTATTGTTTTGCTTATTTTTTTTATTTTGATTGTGGTAATAAAAAGGGGGCCAATATATACAGAGCCAATAAACTGGAAATAATATAAGATATATGATTTATAAATCAAAAAGAAAGGCAAGGAAGAAGGAACGATGCGAGGAACCGGGAAAGGAGATCTTATCTTTCAGTTCGTTCGGCGGAAATGAACTTTGTAACTTATTGTAGGTAGAAGTTGTAACTTTGATATTGCAAAAATTCTTCTCTTGCCTTCAACAAGCACACTAACAGAGACGAAGCGCTACTGTCTGTTGGTTACAAAAGACAAAAAAAGAAAAAAAAAAGAAAGAAAATATTTCCACTGCTAAAGCTTCCTGTAAAGCGAGTGTGATCTGCAATGTTTTTCAACTTTTTGCTAGCACTGTATACTATTGCATTCTTAGGCTACTGTGAAGTCTGTTTCTTGTACCAGAAAGTTGTCCTTATACCTCTAGCTCCTTACTCCCTAATGTGTTTTGTATGTGGTTATACAATTGTAGACTTTTGTGATTTTGCCAAAGTTGTAGCTAAATATTTATACACTTGTCTTGAATTTTCCAGATTCACTTAAATATTTAGTACAGAGTTTTATTCCTACAGTTAGGAGTAAAATTGTCTTATACATTGCAACACTTTCACACAAACACTTGCGGTCACTAAGGGATTTTTTTGTAACATATCAATTATAAATATTGTATTTATCTTTGAAATTTTGTATATTGCTTTTGCATCATTTTCTTTGATCTCACCTGTATTGTTTTCCATGGTCGAAATTACGATGAAGGTTTAGCCAAGAATCATCGCCTGCATTCGATGTTTTGTACCGATAGATCTGCGCATTTCATTTGAAATTCAGAATTGTTTTATGCCATTAGACCCTCCGTCCATTTTTGTTTGTTTGTTTGCTATTTCGAGGAGCAGTCAAAACTATTGTTTATTTTTATATTAATTTTTAAGTTATCTAAAAAAGTACTTTTTTGAAAGAAAACTGTTTGTTGTATAGTCAAATAAATTGTTTGTGTCACCTGGCTGTAATAATATTAGTAGATAAAGTGCATGTCAAGCCGCCCCAGGGGGGAAAATCCAATTGTGGTTGTAAATTTTGTTTTTGTAGAATGTAAAGTAATTTTTACCTGCCACCATAACTTTGCCACATAACTGAACCATGTTTACAGGGATCAAGAAGGAAAAAAAAAAATCTGCAATGGAAATATACATCAGTTACTAATGTTTATTAAAATATGTCAGAAAAAAGCTCTGTCAAAGGCTTTCCAGTGAATCTCCTGAGAGGAAACTTTCTGCTGTTTTAATGACAAACGTACACCACAGTGAATCTCATTATTCCATTCAGATCAATGGTGTAAAAAGCACAAACATTTTTTACTAAAATAAAAAATAATTATTGTGACCCCTCATCTTTTTGGACTATTTTGTCAGTTTGTCTTTTTCAACATTAATTTTACCCTATTCCCTCAAGTAAAACAGCATTCAAAGGGAATGAAAACAAATGAAAAGTTAGTTTTTGTATCATATATGGACAACCAAGATGAAGATGTTCTATACCGTAAATGTCATTTTGTAAGTAACTCATGACACCGTAGCATAGCCGAATCGTATCACTTTTCTCTCTCAATGATATTGATTTTCCGAGTCGTGCCAAAATCCACAAATGAGACGCAGTGATTTTTTTTTCCCTATCCAAGGCTTTCATTTTGAGCTTTTTTTCTTTGCACTTCGGGCTTTGTAAATGTTATAATGTTTGGCAGTGTGCTACTCTTTCTGTTTCAATCCAAAAGCGGATGTTTCCTCTTGGCAATCGGCACACAAGTTTCCTTTAGCTGCAGGAAGCAAAGGCAGCTGTAGATGGAAATAAATGATGAATGTACAATGTATTTGCTTTGTGATGGCTCAACAAAGCTCGGCCAAGTGGAGGAGCCGGTGAGGTCACCCTGAAAGTAAGAAAAACTCAAGGTTACGTGAAGTGCATTTGTGGATTTCATAATTTCTGCAATCTGGTTTTGTCTTTTAGTCTAATTAAGTACCCATACTCGGAAGATTTCACTAAACTCGAGCTCTGTAAGAACAAATGCCTTTATTTCTGGCTCATGTATGGTTTATTTGAGTTGTTTTATGGCCATATTTCTACATTTTATTGTACAAAGTTGTTAATTTTACATAATATTTAATTAAAGTATTTCTTGTCTGTGAC